TATTTATTTTTAATTTCGACATCATCCCTTAGAATGCAAAGGGGTGTGCCCCCAACCTTATTCCCTGATAACCCCACCCCCCTCCCCCTCCAAGTTGACACCCGTATGTACGTTTTGTAAAAAAGAAAGGAATGTTAATATTATAAATTGTACAGAGAGAGAGAGAGAGAGAGAGGGAGAGAGAGAGAGAGAGAAGGACGGGAGCTAATTTCTCCGTGTCTTTATCCGTGTCCTTGCGCTTGTCTCTGACCTCGTCTTGAGTCTTGACTATCGTCATCGTGTTCAATGTTCTACTTAACAGCCTATGCAAATATGCATCTACTAAATGTATTAATTTATGGAATCTTCGACCGCTCTTGAGTGTTGGAGCATTAACACATGTGACATGTACACAGTCACAGAGGCGGCGGAGCGACTTCCAAAGTGGGGGGGGGCACCAACAAAAAAAGGCACTTTCGGGAGAAAAAAGGGCACCTTCAAAGAGAATTTTAAAGCAAAAATAGACAAGTTTTTAGATATTGGTATATACCCATATATGATTACATTATCAGGGATGATTTCAATATTTGTTTCTCATTATACATCATATAAGATATAGCTTAAGCATCATACTTTGCAGTTGGGTGTGATGGTCTGAAAATTCATTTGCGAGCGAGGAAAAATTTTAAGATTTGTGAGGTCGCAGTGCGAAAAATTACATCTTATAAAGAGGAAAAACCCAAAATATCCTGATGGGTTTATAAGCACATTCTCATAACGGAAGACTGAAAAGACCTTTGATTAGTAACACTACATGCGAGCGAGCGTAGCGAGCGTGCTTTTGGTGAAATTTCTCTTAGTCACTTGAGGCACGTTTAATGATGAGAGGAAAGGGAACACTTATCGAAAGGGATAAGACACTTATTAGAAAAGAAAAGGAGCACGTGTCAAAGTGCAAAGGCTAATTAACAGAGGTGAACATGGGGCACTTCTTACACCTAAAAAAAGAGGCACTAACCAGGGATGAAAAGGGCACTTATGACAATGGGAAATGGGCATTTGTCGACGGAAAAAAGGCACTCATCAGATTTTAAAGGGGCATTTATAACAAGTGAGTAGGGGAAGTGGCTCCCATTAAAAAGAAAAAGAGGCGCATCTTAAAATAAACGGGGCACTTGTCAGAGATGAAAAGGGGGTAATTATGAGAAGAGGAAGGGGCACTTATAAGAAGGAAAATGAGCATTTATTGGGGAGGAAAGGGGGACGTGTCAAATAAAAGGGGAATTTATTAGAGATGAAAAGAGCATTTATCAGGAGAGGAAGGGGCACTTGTCAAAGTAAAACGATTTTCTCTCAGAATTATATAGGGTCATTTACAAGAGATGAAAAAGGGCATTTATGAGAAGTGGAAGGGGATATTTTTAATGGGGGCACTTATCATAAGGAAAAGGGGCACTTATTAGAAAGGAAAGGGGGCGCATGGGAAAATATAAGGTGCGCTTATCCGAGTTAAAAAGGGTTAGTTATTAAACTGGGAAGGGGCACTTCTTACAAGGCAAAAGGGGCACTTGTCAAAGAAAAAGGGGCACTTCTCAGATTTGAATAGGGTAATTATCAGAGGTGAAGAGGCGCTTATCAAAAGTAAAAAAGGGGCACTTACTAGAGATTAAAAAGGGCACTTGTGAGAATGAAAAATGGAAACTTATTGCAAAGGAACATGGGAACTTGTCGAAGGAAAATTGGTACGTGTCAAAATAAAAGGGGTACTTATCAGAGTCGGAAAGGGGAAGGTGCACTTTTTAAAGTAATGGTGGCACTTATCAAATTAAAAGGGGTACTTTTCCTATGTAAAAAGGGGCACTTCTTACAACGGTAAGGGACACTTTTCCTGTAGGAAGGGGCAATTTTGGGGTACTTCAAAAATTGGGGGGGGGGATGTGCCTCCCGCCCCCCCCCCCCCACCCCGCGAGCGCCACCTCTGCACAGTCATGTACTCCTCGACTGTGTTTTTTATTATGTATATGAAAGCTCAACATTTCGAGCAGTGCATGTGTTCTTTTCTCCTTTTTTCTTTTTTTTCCTATTCCTTTTTAAAAAATTTCTCGAATATTCTAAATGTCATTAGATGTTAATTTTATGTAAGCATTCTTTCTTGTTTTTATTGAGTTTTGAAATAAAAATCATTCGAATTGAGTTGAAATTGAATTAAATTTGGTGGCAGATGACGCTATACCATTTGATTGTGTATCAACAGATAATTGATCATTTATTAACAATATTCATACTTCACAAATAGAGGAAATTAGTTTTCAACCAACTTTTAACAATACTATGGCGGCCCCGACCTCTATGGCGGAATCGTTCCCATTCTCAGCAAGGGAATTTAATTTACCCCCTTCTCTCTTTTTCGTAAGATGCCAATTGATGTCAACAATTTCCGAGCAGTCAAAGAAATTAGGTCTTAACTTTATTTGCAAAAGGGCGGGGCACCTACAATTAATTTTACTGTTTGTTTCTTCAAAATATATGACTCTGATGGCGGTAAGTTAAAAAAGACACAAGCGTTTATTGGACCATATTCAAGTTTCAAGAGAAAAGTGAAGTGGTCAACTTTCATTGACGACTATTTTACAATATTTATATCGCCACTGTTACAATGTCTAATAGGCCTACTTATTAGTACTCTAACTCATATGATTTTATTTATTTATGTTCTTATATTTATCTCAATACATGAAACTAGTAAACTTAAAGGGCAATGGTTCATTAATCAATATACACGGACTTTGTAAGAACTATGGAAGTTTCCCATTTGAGTTTAATTCAATTTCTTCTAATATGGCATCATGAGATGGGTGGTTCAGATCCCGAAGCATGAGGTTGTGCTAGTCCGTAATATTCTTTATTTCTCATTTATAAACTTCAGAACCAAAAATAAACCATCAAATTACAAAAGGGTATCTTGTGTTATGGACAGATCACAGTCATTATATTCATAAACAAATGCAGGCACGGATCCAGGATTTCTCAGGGGGGGGGGATTTAAAATCATGCGAGCCAAATATCGGTACGTTATGGTTTCCAGCAGTGGTGGTTTTTTGTTTTTTTTTTTGTTTTTTTGGGGGGGGAGGGGGGGGGGGGGGTCAGAAGATAACAATCTGCATTATCACCACCACTTTTACCTGCAGGCCCCGCTGAACGTTTTTTTTTTTTAAAGTTGGTGGGGATAAAGTATTTACGTTCAGATACAGCGAAGCGTAAATTGGCGTGGGGGTCTAGGGCAAACCCCGGTGGGGAATAAGGGGTGGAACCCCCGGAAGCTTAGGGGTATGGGCATTTAATTACGGTCAAATGAGCATATTTCGATACCTTATTCATGACACTGACATGTCACTAATTGGCGTGAGGTCCAGGGGACGCAGCCCCCAGAAGCTCAGGAGTTTAAGGAATTAAATTACCGTCTGATGAGCATCCAGAGGCCCGCCTTAGAGCCCTGGGTGGGAACCAGGGGTTTTTAATTACGGTCAGCTGACCATATTTGTGACACATGCAGGTCACTCTTTTTTCTTTCTTTCTGTCTTTCTTTCTATTTCTCTTTAATATACTTTTTAAACAAAGAGGGGAGGGAGGTCAGTCCCCTGAGCCCACCGTTCTGCGGACCCTGGCATATTGGCCTCTTAATAAGCATATTTCTTGCCTGACTGTAAATTTTTGAATTTGTCATTTTCCAACAAATGCATTCACAAATTTAGTGAACTAAAAAGCGAGGAAAAATCCCGAAAAATTATGTCATTTATTAAAGCAAAATTTGTAAATCACTGGTATTGATTTAGAAATAAACCACGTTGGAAATTGTGTTGGGGTCAAATGCTCCAAGCCCCCCCCCCCCCCCCCCCCCCCCCCCCTTGCAGTACGCCAGGGTTGATCAGGTGCGTATTTGGCGCTTGGTCTCAATGACGAAAGAAGAAGCGATACAATCGCAACTTATTTTCCCTTCTTTTCCCCCTTTTCTTGTCTTCTTCCTTTTTATTTTCTTTCACTATCTTTCCTCCTTCCCCTTCCCTTCCTATCCATTCTTTCTCTCTCTCTCTCTCTCTTTCTTTCTTTATTTTGCTGAGGTGGGGGGGGGGGGAGCGGGAGGCAAGGGCATTTTGCCCCCCCCCCCCCCCGATCCACGACTGGTCGGCGATATCCCCCTTCTTTTTTTCTTCTTCTTCCTCTTTTTTTTCCTTCCCTTTATCTCCTTTTCCTTTTTTTTCTTCTTTCTCTTTCCTTCCTGCTCTCTGTTTTTTGCTGCGGGGGGGGGGGGGGGGGGGGGGGGGGGGG